GCATCATCAAACTATAAAAACAGCGTCGTTTTTGTATTTATTTTGCGTATTAACCTGTATGGCAGGCCTGGGCAAGTTGCGGCCCGCGGGCCACATCCGGCCCGCTGCAACTTTTCATCCGGCCCGCGAGCAGGCTTCTAGATTTAGACAATTTCTTCTTTATTTACATATAAAATATACTTTAACTGTGAACAAACGGAATTTTTATGATAATGAAAAAGTCAGTAATAACGTTCGACTATTTTTTTTTTAAATTGCTGATTGTTTTTGTCAGCTCGAGGTGGACTCCGCAAATCACAAATTTCCTTCAACATATATATGTCTTGTATACGGAACTGTCGAACGATTGAGAAAAACGAGTTATTATATAATCATCGGCAACGAGATGCTAAAGATAAATAAAGGAGTGAATCGACAAGCACCTTAAATCTAGATTTAGAAGGTCCTTGACAGGTTAGAAACGCTGTTGTAAAATTTGGAAACTGAAAAATTTCTGGTGTCCACGACACACATTTTAATTGAGTTGCTTTCGTGCGCGCGATGTATCTTTTAAACAATTCCAAAACTATCGACGGAGTCTGATATATAAGATAATTAATGTAATGTAAATTCAATCGATTTTCGTGGTACTAAAATGAATTTTACTTCGTGTGGTTTTATCGCGGACGTGGGGATTTTTAAAATGGTAAAATCTTTAAAACAGAGCTAAGTGAGTAGTGCAAGAACAGATCAGATTTGTCGAATTCACGAAATCGAATAAAACTAATCTGGAAGTTAACCTCACATTTTTATATTCGCGGAATGGTATTTCATAGGGGGAAATGCCAAGTCAAGTTTTGTCAAGTCAATCGCGGGTTAAGTTGAAAACAATAAAGCAAGACATTTTAAATGTATCCGTATCAATAATACCCGTATCGAAAATAGGTATCAAAACTAAGATTATTCCGGCAGTTTATCTGACATTTTTCATCAGCTCACAACGCTTTCCAATGCAATTAAATTTTCCGCGACCCCTGTTCACGGTAAAAATGCTAAAGTTATATGAATCACGTTACCCTGTCATAACATGCAACTACATCAAACTACGGCTTCGCTATCGACTTACTAGGCCGTGATAAAACAGCAGGCGGTATTTTCCTTTATATTGACAAGTAAACTCATAGATAACACCACACCTAAAATTTAAAGAGAGACATTCTGAACGCAAAAAAAGTTTTAAATATCCAGAAAACAGCTTATATGTCGGTGCGGATAATCAGTCAAATACATAACTACAACCCGAAAATTTGGAAACACCCCCTCTCAAAAATTACGAAAAAAGCTGGGGTGTGAAGTATTTCGTACTAAGTAAAGTAAATAACTGACCACAATCGACAGGGTCGTAGCCAGAGGGTGATTTTGGGCGCCGGAACCCTTCTCCCCCCTTTTGAAAATATCTGGCTACACCCAACCAGTCGAATCTTAACACGAGTCATCCTTCTCATACTCTCTGTCGTTATATCGAATCCTCTCTCCCGCTATAAGAGGAAATTAAGCTATCTCTTCTCCTCCTATCCCGTTTCCTATAGTTGCGCTTCGAATTAAATTTGATCAAGTGAGCGCTCAGTACATGTTCTCGTAAAATATGTAATATATCGCTAAGCGCCAGTTTTTTTATTTGGATTTTTTAAGTTTCTCTTTCTTATCATATTCGCTTGATAACGTAAGCAAACACATTTGCGAAAAATGTAAGTAATTTTGTTTACCAGTTGTCCAGAACGATCCCACACGAAACAGAAAAATGTGTGATTTACGGCAATTTAAAAATAAATCGATATCGAAGTAAATATGATGCTGATTTAATATGAGACAAGGACTCAAATTTCAGGAAATTAATTTATTGCTTCAAACCGAAAGCATAAAGCGGAATGTATTTAATTTTACGTGTTGTCATGGAGATTGTAAATAATTGACATATCGTCAATATATCCAACACAAAAAATGAAATTGCTATATTTAGAAAATTAGAGTTTATGTAACACGAAAAATGTGAGGATCAGCCTGGTCGTGTTATATTTATCCATGCTAATATGATTTCGTAATTGTTTGAGGTCATCTGCTGCTGAAAAATGGTGTCGCTGACTCAAGGACTTTTATATTCTTTTCGCGACCCATTGCGGTTGAAACACTGTACGTTTTTTCGATGAATTTATTTATTTTTTGTTCATATGTACCATGTTCGTTGCACGTCGAAAATACAGGAAAATACATACAATTTTATACAGGTGTCGCTGACTCGATGACTGTCACAGTTCTTCACTTGTATGAATTCTTTTGTGCATAATTACATTTTTTTACGATTGTCATTATACACGTTTGTCAATTTTTCGTGCTTTAATTTTTGTGTTGATTCTTGCATAATAGAAATAAATTATCTGAATCTTATTCTTTCGTTGGTGATAAAAGAAGCAAAAATTTTCTACAGTTCAAAAATTATTTCATTTACTTAACGTTTATAACCGTCTATTTAAGAAAGCTTGCTTCTGTCGGATCTTTTGTACAAAGTCCCCGCCAACGCTTAAAATAGGAGAATTAGTAGGCCTAATCATCCAGTTAGGGTTAAAACTGCAGATAGCGCCTAATATTCAAATTTTTAAATCTTTTCTAACCTCACCTAGATGTAATAATAAGTATAAGTTTATTTCGACTCCTTAATCCACAATAGACGATAAAATAATAGATAAAAACAAAAATAAAAGTAACTGATTATAGAATCGGGAAAGAAAACAAAACCTCAAGTAAAGTTTGAAGCGTACAGATTTTAGATGGAAAGGTATTGATGAAAAAAGAAGTAGTACGTGTTCGCTCACCCAATTACTAATCTGGTATTTTTAAAACGTAGCGGGGGTATTTTTCTGTAGATGAGTATGTTTGTTATAAAATTTGATTTTTATAAATTTCGGACCTGGGAAAGGAATGTGGAGTAGATAGTAAATGAATGTTGGATGTAAATGTCTCTTATCGCTTCAAACGAAAATTATTTATTTTTCCTTGTTGTCATAGATATTGTAAATATATTTAACATATACAGAAACCGAAATTTCTATATTTAGAATTAGTAAAATAAACAGCATGTGATTAATGGGGTGGTACAACACTAGGATAGGATCACTAAATATGGTTAAGCTGTTTTATTGGTTAAGATTTCGGAGCTGATTTCGAAATCGGAGTTTCCCCGGTTTTGGGTCCCAGGATCCCAACCCCAGTAACCCGACGCAGGGTAAAACCAGGCTCTAGTGGGATGGGACACGGACTACACGCTGTGGGTCACGACTAGATAACGCTGTCTCGGTGACTTTCTTTTCCCATGGTCACATTCAGGTTTAGATATTTATTTCGTCACGCAAGAATCAATATAAAACCAAAAGAAAAATATAGTTAACTAAAAAACGAGTAACATTGATTCACAGCAATTGGCGCGGGGTCGCGAAAGACTCAATGAGGCATTCAGTCTGCGACAGCTTGTTGCTGTACTACAGCAGCAAATATAGCAATAAAGCAACAGGATAAAAAAAATGATCTTTAAAATACAAAATCATAAAAAACAACAACATAAGATTCGAAATAAACTTTTAAAAATTCCTATATTTCCCTGATATTGGTTTTACTACGTATGGAACAAATACAAAACAGTCTCTGCTTTTTGTGTAATGCTTTGGGCAGGGCGTATTTCATCATCATAACTCGACATTCGCCTTTGTACGCTCACCGTACACTAAAAAAATAGTACTCTTGCGCCAACTAACGTATACAAAAACTCTCCGTTTACTCAAGATGTGAACGATGACCTCATTTGATTGATATGTTTATATCACGTGACTAGGTCACAAGAGGATTTGTATTTTCTTTACTTTTTCCGATTTACCAAGCACAGTTCGTTTCTTAGGTTCTGTGAGTTCGATTCGTGGACTCATTAACAGAAATATTTCGAATTTAGATAGTTAAAAGGGGCGTAAGCTTTTAATAATGAAATTGGATACTTAGTCACGGTGTCAGATATGCACGCTGGCGTTTCATTTCAGAAACAGTGATACCGGTACCGTACCGTACCGCACGCTGCATGTCAGCATGTTGATATTAATTATTGATAAGGCCGTAGACTGAGGTAATCCCGCGATACACGAGGGAGAAGGCTAAAATGTAATTGCTTTATTTTATATAAATATGAGGTAATGCAACGCTTGCAAGCTGGTTTACAGGAATTTTATCTGGATTGCACTGACAGGCAGGTCATGTCCAGATGTCTGAGTTTTGTTCTCTATTTTTAAACTCTCTTCTATCTGTGTCACAGTTTAGGTTTTGTTACTGTGTGTAGATGAGTCGGAAAATTCAAGATTTGCAATTGGTCGTTTATTGTGATGCATCTCTACACTCAAACACTTAAAACAGCAATAATAACAGCAAACACAAAACAGCCGACGTCCAGCTTTTTCCACATGACTGCGATAAGAGATATATTTATTCCCGCACGCTCTGAGTCGCAAATAAATTATACATAATTTTGGTTTAGTAATCTAAATTAATCGCGACTTGAGATGGCTGTCACATGGCCAATTTTTTTTTTTTTGCTAAAAACTCTCGAATGCTGCCATAAAAATCCTCAGTAAATCAGAGTATTTTTTAGAGGAGTTCAATGGTGACACTTTTGAATTTGAGAACTGTGCTGTACTGTAATATGAAACAGTAAAAGAGCCAGGATTGGTCAAAATTTAAGATAGACTTTCCCAAGAAAAATAATGCAAAACAGAATTGTCTTTGTTTTTCTGATTTTCTTCTGTTCGGTATGTTTTGGTTGTTTTCAGTAGATAGTGATTAGTGAGGCAAGTTTAAACCAGGAAGAAGTGCCCACACCATCTATCATTTTTCAACCATACGTTTTATTATTAGTGATTCATTCAGTAATCATAAACACGGTTAACCATTTAATAACAATACTTTTTTCTTATCAATGCAGGTTAAACTATTATATTTGTGCATTAACGAAATGCAAATATTTGGTGTATGAAAAAAATAACACTGTATGTCTTCAAAATCGACAAAGAGAAAAAGAAATTTTTACTGTTTATTTCGCCAAGAAGAGGCCTTCCTGAAATTATCAAAGTTGCTTTCCATCTGGTTAATACAGTTTTTCTGAGAATGTAGTTGGGTTCCCAAAAAATTGAAACCCAATAGTTACAGATTTTGAAATTCCAGTAGTGGCTCACAATTTATCTTCTGAAAGAGTGATCACTTTGAAAATGGAGATGTCAGATACAGAGTCTGGACAGCAGAGGTTCTCTCTTAGAGGATGGAGATTTTGGATTCGACCTGTTGTTATTGTAGTCTATTCTCTACTTTTTCTGGTAACTGTACCATTGGTTGCTGTATATCTTGAAAAAAGCCAAGAATCACCTAAAACGGAAGCGTGGTTGATTGCTGGGGTTTTTGTACTTTTCACTATACCTATATCACTATGGACTATCCTACAGCACTTGATATATTACACGCAACCGGAGTTACAGAAACACATTATACGGATCTTATGGATGGTTCCGATATATTCAATCGACTCTTGGGTGGCGATTATTTACCCACCAAGTGCAATTTACCTCGACACATTACGAGAATGCTACGAAGCTTACGTTGTTTATAACTTCATGGCGTATTTGTTGAATTACCTTACAAGAGAGTATGAACTTGCAGGGACATTAGGAGCAAAATCTCAACAGAAGCACCTTGTGCCTTTCTGTTGCTTTCCTGTGTGGCCAATGGGAGGAATATTTATCGAACGATGTAAACAAGGAGTGTTACAATACACTATTCTTCGACCGATAACAACTTTAATTGCTTTGATTTGCGAGTTAGCCGGACGTTATCACGAAGGCGACTTCAGTCCTGCCTATGCTTGGGTCTGGATTGTGTTTATCAACAACGCGTCACAAATTTGGGCGATGTATTGCTTAGTTTTGTTTTATTACGCAACAAAAGAAGAACTGAAGCCTATCAAACCTGTGGGAAAATTTTTGTGCGTTAAATTAGTTGTTTTTGCTTCATTCTGGCAAGCTGTCGCGATTGCTATCGTTGTGTTTGTGATTCCTTTCAAGCAGAAATGGGGTTGGGTAACACGTGATGAAATGGCAAACGGTTTACAAGACTTTATTATCTGCATTGAAATGTTGATCGCGGCAGTCGCGCATCACTTCACTTTTTCGTATAAACCATTTATTATACAAGGACATAATGTTCCATGGTATCGATCTTTTCGAAGCATGCTGGACGTTTCTGACGTTCGTCAAGATATTGCTGAACAAGTTCGGGAAGTCGGACAGCGTGTTATCCCGAAACAAGCACCTTGGAAACGCCGACAGAAAAATGGATTTACAGAAGACAGTGAAAAATATGATGAATTGTCGTCCTTAATCACGCCATCATCTTCAGATGGTGAAATGGCGAATATTTTAGGGTACGGAGATCGCCCTTCATATTCATCTCATGGCAGGGTGCAAGACAATCATACAGATGCATATGACAATGTAGAAAGAGACAGTGACAGGTAGTGCTGTTATAAAATGACTGTATATAGGGTGTCCATGAAGTCTTAACAATTTTTTAAATTGCAAAGGGAATTTATCGATACCATATATTGTTTTGGCCCTCACAGATGTATCAAATGAAGCAAAAATAGTCAAACAATTACTGATTAAAAAACAACAAACCTGGTTGAGATATATTGAGAACTGACTTCATGAAAGGGACTTTATTTCCTGTATTTCATATTTATGCATAGGTCACACCCAGGGGTGGATTCAGGGGGTCCCAACTTATGCGAACTCTTTCTTAGAATGTCCTCATAATTAGCAAATCTGAATCATGATTTTCAGAGCTAGAGTTTGGGCATGATTTTCTGAAATATGAGAATCTGTTGTTAGTGAGTTAATACAAAAGAAACAATGTACAGAAAATTCCGAATCTCATTATCGAATTAGTGAATTTTTGTTAAATTGTATGTTGTAATACTTGCTGTATATTCTGTGTTACAAAAATGTTTTTGTGTGTGTGAACCATCATTTTTATATGAATCATATTCTGTATCCTGATAGCGCCATTTGCTAAAAGTTTTCCATTATTTAGGTGTCATTTCTTCACACACAGCTTTGGTTCCTCGCTGCTTCCCTTCCCTGGTGCAACTGTGTGTTTACTTTTATTTCTTATTTTGTTTACGATCGGTTTTTATATGAATCATACTTTGTATGATTGATTACCAAGTTTTTGTAGTAAGTTTCCCATCATTTGTCACTTTTTGATAACCATTCTTGGTTTCCCACGGCTTCTCTTTCCAGGTTCAACTGTATTTTTCCATTTTCTTCTTACTTTGTGTGGGATTGGTTTTTAATGACTGGAAAAAATAAAAATGATATCAAAATCATCACTTGATATTAGCTGTCTCATCGTCTTTTCTCTCTCCAGGATAAATATGAAATTTCAATCCGAAACATTCAAGTTGGGACTTCCATAATCATACCATGTTTTCCCGAAAATAAGACAGGGTCTCATTTCAATTTTCTTTCGAAAAATAACACTAGAGTTTATTTCTGAAGAATGTCTTTTATTTCATCAAAAACAAAATTTCAAAGTAGAGAATTACGAGATTTATAAATATACAAAATATGAAATTTCATTTACTAATAAATAACACATTTTTTATTAAAATAAACTGCTAAGTCCTATTTTAAGGGAGAGCTTATATTAGAATCATTTCTAAAATTCAGGCTAGGTCTTATTTTTAGGAAAACATGGTATCAATGGTGACCGTACATTTGAACCCATGCGTATATCCACGGGTTCAATCTATATGCGGGTGCTAAAACCCATGGGTTAGGGTTAGTATGGGTTTAACTATCCGTGAAACAAAAAAAATTCCATAGGTGCAATAGCATACAGGTGCAATTGTCATGGGTTCAAATGTACGTGGGTTCAAATGTAATGGAACCGGTATCAATGCATATTAATTGAATAAGAGGTTAACTAATCCCATATCAGGCATGTAATGGTAAACGGACAAGAACATTGATCTGACATATGGTTTCCAGGCCATTTTATCTGCTTCCCCTCCGCAGGATAAATATATCATCTTATCATCAATCACTCTACACACATATTGCATTTATCATTAGTAATAGTGTTCTTGAATTAAAAAAATCCTTTTATTTTTATTCCTTATCATATCAACATTTTTTGTACGAAGCGAGGGCCATTAACGGCCCACTTGAAAGCAGTCTTCAGACGAACGACCTATTTGAAGCTCATTAAGCACTTTCAAAATCACCTGAATTCTATTTTAAGTTGAATATAAGTGGCTGGATAGTCGCCATTTTTTTTTAAAGGAATTTTGTTAGAACCTTTATAGCTATATTCATATTTTTTTCAAATTATACTCTTTACTTTAAAATATAGTTTAATATATAATACCATACCGTATGAATTTTTCAAAAGTGTATAGTTTTGGAAATATTGGATTTTTTTTCTATGGTAAATTTTCTTACCTACACTCTGAACAGGCTGAAAGAGCCATCAATTTGGAAAAAGGTGGTATTTCATGTTTGGTATTGAAGTCTAACTTAACAGTAATTGTATATGTAGGAATTATCAATGAGTATAATTTACTATTTTAAATACATTCTAAATATTTTGTACAAATCCCCTGCCTGCAATGCAAAAATGTGAGATTTTTGAGAAAAATTTTAAATCAAAATTATCTATTTGGGGTTAGAAGTGATTTGAAAATTTGAATTTCCAGTACAATCTTAAATCCTAACCCTAATGGGGTAATTAATATTTTTATTTTATTTAGAGCGTGGGCACGGGTGTATTTGGCGGGTGCTATGTGCAAAAGATCTACGAGCTTACCTAATTAGGAATCAATCAAGTGCAGGCTTTAATGGTTCATGTGGATAGTTTCTAATCCTTGGCTGTAGCATCTGTTTGACCTGTTCTAATCTTTATTGTTGCTAGGTACTTATTGATGTAATAAGTTGTTAATATGGTGCTAAAGTAAACTTGTTTAACCTGGGCTAAACAATGCAACCGTTAAGGCAGAAGAGCGCTCGAGCGCCGCCTACATATTAGTTTAGACAACGACTTGCTCATTAGCATTGTGTTTGTACTTAAACTTTTTTCAGCTTGTCCGCTCTCGATATCGAGCAGTTGCTTCTGCTGTGATGCAAGATGTTTTTGCTGTGAATTAAATTTTTATTGGGATAGATAAATTTTTTTTGGCTTTCTTGCCCCAAACTTTTAGATCAAATCCTAATTTTTACAGTCTTCCTGAACAAAATGTCTGGACAAGCAGCCAGTGATATGTAGGATTGAAATCTTTCTGGTTTCCGGAAACTTCACTATTCCGAATACTTTTGGAGAAAATATTTTTAAAATATCGAATTATATTGAATGCTTTTATAGAGTCTTGTTCAGGGTAAAGATATGAAATATCGTCATAGAAAAAATTTCCTTGGAATTTTTATATTGATCGATTCTGTGTCGTTTGCTCAGATCCGTCGTTAACTTTTACTCTGAAAGTCTTGAAAAATTAATGAAATGTAAATATCATTTGTTTTCTGCAGAAAATCTGAAGGAACAAAAATTAAAAATTCATTAGAAATCGAGCAAATTCATATCAAAAAGGCGGAGAAGGCCAAAAAGTGAGAAAATCTCTTTGGAAATAAATTTATTGATTCTCTGTTATTGTCAATAATAAGCGAAAAATTCTCGATTTTAGTTTCTTAAAATCACGGACTTTAAATGAGGAAACTGTGAAATTATTACAAAAATCCAGAACTTATTATTTCCGAATGTATTCAAGCATACAATTCATTTTCAAATCCCATTTCATAGTGTCCAAATAAGTGCAAAAATCTCTCCAATAATTGATCCATTAGTATTGTGTTAACACAGTGTAAAGAAAAAGCAACAAACTGGGGCGACACAAATATCACCTACATGTCGAATCCATTGCCAAACCAATATTATTTCTTACACTTTCATATTTTTTTTACTCTGAACACGGCTATACACAAGCCAGTAGTTCTCGGGAGACTGAATTTTTTCCCGATCAATATTATCTATCCAATTTATTACACCCTAGTTGAGGTGGTGGGCATGGGACTCGAACCCAGGACGTGTAATCTGCATTAAAGTCTAATGCTTTTACCACTAGGCCACTAATCTATCAAATACAGGATAGTCCAAAAATAGGTCAACAGTTCTTAAATTAATAAATTTGGATAACTATCAACCTACTTTTGGTCCACCATGTATATTGATAATTGCTGTAAATCCTCTTAAATTCTCTGAATAAATTTCTGAATAGGAATTAGCATAATTAGTTTGTGTAATATTGATTTTTTACAGCCGTGTACGTCTGTATTGATCTGGTATAATGGTTATATGAATTAATAACCGTACTGTTATTGCATTGGGGAGGTGGTTTTTACGGTTCTCGTACATTTGAACCCACGACAATTGTACCTGCATACTATTGCACCTATGGACATTTTTTTTGTTTTGCGGATATTTGAACCCATACTAACCCTAACCCATGGGTTTTAGCACTCGCATATAGATTGAACCCGCGGATATACACATGGGTTCAAATGTACGGTCACTGGTTTTTACCTTTCGTCTGAGTGGAACCCAATGAAACATTCCAATAGGCATTCTTCCATATCACACATATCAAATTTTTGTGTGATAAATAAAAATATCATTTTCAACGTAAATTATTTGTCAACTTTTCAATTCCCAATCGTTGTGTATTTTTGTTACTATATCAGCTTCTTCATTTTTGCTTCCAAATTTTATTTTTTGTATCCGTAGACGATCACCATTACTACACCGTGTTATATTCAACTATGCTCCCATTCTTACATTTCCTTTTTTTGTGGGTTCAATAACTTAATGGTCAGAGCATTGAACTGTTATGTTGGCATCAAGGTCCAAGGCAGTGGTTCTCAAACTTTTTAAGCGAAGCCGCCTTTTTAGAATTTGTTAAGTTATGCGCCCCACCTCAAAAATAACTAGCTAACAATAAGCTACAAATAACAGATAGTAAGGCAAAAGTATATCATATTCAAAAAATACGTTGAAAATATAAATATGCCAAGTGGGCAAGATCAAATATATCACATATTTTTATTTATCTTCACACCCCCTAAGAAAAATTGTCTACGCCCTCTTGTTGGGCCCGCCCATCGTTCGAGAACCACTGGGTAAGGCTTTTATTTCAATCCCCATACGACACCTATCCCAACATCAGCATGTAATAGGTTCGATTCTAGTTTTTCAAAAAGAGCAGTTGTCTTTAGCCTTGGTGGGAATGGAATTCCCCAAAAGAATACACTGTTATGCATTAACAGCTGCTATCTAGAGTCTATTAGATATGGAGTATGAAAAAACCTAAAAGTACAATACAGCTCTTTTGAATAGAGAATTCGGCAAGGGCACTCCAATACAATTAATTTGATAATTGCCTGAAATGACCAGTCTCTATCTCAATGCAGGCTCGTAACATATAGATTGCATTTATTATTAGTTTCCAGTTCATTTCATCGGAGGACCCTTTTTAAAAAAGAGCTCTTTCTGTACCTTTTCAATCTGCCTATGATTTATTTTATCTTTGATATACTTTGATGTTGTCTCATTATTTTTCTTGCTCTTCATATTGTAAGCATCATTGTTTCAACATTCTTGCTAATATTTTATCATTTTCATCCGTGAAGCGTTTATTATGAGAAAGGCAGCAAACAATAGTTTTTCAATGACTTGCAAGAAGTTTTGACTGCAAACTCTAAGGAAATCAAACTTGGTGTACATGCGCCTCCTTTAATAGACTGTTAAAAATACTTGGTAAACTTAAACATTATGTGAGTTTCTTTTGGGGAGTTTGATTTGACTCTGATGAAAACACGCCAACACCAACAGCTGTGCTGATGCTAACGAATTTCTATAACAATTTGCTCAAAGTTATTCACAAACTTATCTGAACCAGGGGTGCGCAACGCGTGGTCCGTGGGCCCAAGCTATTTAGTGTGGCCCTTACTTGCTATTGTCGCTTCGTTTCATCCTTCACTATTTGCCCATTGCCGTTATTACTGTAACTCGTTGTCCGTGGAAAAACTACATTTTTGTGCAACACAGCCAGATGTCTGACTTCGATAATATGGCCCACCGCCAAAAAATGTTTCACTCTTGATCTGAAGTAATGATAATTTGATATCATGATGCATTAGTTTTTTTTATGTTTCGTTTCAATTTAGTTCAAAAATTTGTGTATTCCACCTATTGTGAACGTAAAACTGTTTTTAATATTTTGTTGAAAATTTTTTTTTTCTTTAAACTGTTTCTGGTCAGAGACAACTTTTGATAGTCTGGGAATGTTGAAAGGATATTTTAAGAGTGTTTGGGAAGACAGTATAAAATTTTCAAGATATTTACCAACATAATTCAGACAAAGTTTTGAAAAGTTGTTATTGTGACGAACAACAATTTTATTCCGCCTTCTAGTCGTAATGCTTACTGGTGAAGTGGGCATTACATTTGAATGTGTATTGCATTTATATATATCAATTATGTATTAGATCAATAATTTTTTCCTCATTTAACACAGACTGGATTGTTTTCTGAATTGTTATGGTTACGGCAAAAAAATATTTTTTCTGGACCAATTGCTTTCAAAATGTTAGAAGTCAAGTTTATTGCTATTACTGTACAAATCTTTTCTATGCTCTGCTATTTCACTCCAAAATTTGCTGATTTTGATAGTTATCCATAATTCGTGTATTCCCAAAATGTCGTTTATATCCATATTTACAGTAAATAAGGACAAATTTTTTGCACATTTATCTTGTTTATACAGTTCCAACGTCTTATTTTTGTTTTTCCTATATTTCGCACTTATTGTTGTTTTTTGGCCAACCATAGTTTAGTCTAAGATTATCTCAGATGTTTCATTCATGCTTTTGCAACTAGGTAACTATTTCCATGCCAGACATGGACTGGTAACCAAACGATAGGCATTGGTTCGACATGTGTTCAAGGATTTTCTGGCTTCTCTCTCTCACAAGATCGACTGAAAAAATACTTTTTTTACCTATATTAAAATATTCTACATATCCATCATTGTAGGCTGAATATTGCAATTACATTATAAAAATAATGTTTTTAATTTGGAATACGTAACGAATGGTTGGCCGTGATCAAGACTCAACATTACAGATCCTAAAACGAGAATATTCCGAATTTTTCATAAAATTAAGCGCTTACCATATCTTGTCTCACCTATATATCAGGGCTTCCCAAACTAGGGGTCGCAAAGAGACAAAGAGTACACCTATTTTACACATATATATTGTTGTACTTTTGATTGAAAACACAATTATTACATCTCAAGATTTTGAAAGAATGCATAGGATCTGAGAAGGGATTAACGTGCATAACAATGAACATTACAGGGGTTTGTCTGTTCTTCATTTCATAAAATACTGTGATCGTCAACAAATTGTTGTGAATAAAATGATTTTGTCATCTCAGTGTTTTTTATTCAATTGAGAATGTTGGTAATGGGTAAGGAAAATCGTACCCTAACCTGGTACACATACTACAACAGACGGAAGTACCAATTCCATCCCAATTTCACTCACGCCACCGATTAATTCACTATGATTTAGTTTTATTACAAATCATTTGAAAAGTCAATTTGGTACATGAATTCGGCAAAACAATTGAAGCACAAAAGTTACCAGATAGAGTACATAACTTTATCATATAAAAATGAAGAACACTCCACACAAAGACATATATATCCAGCTTGGTAAGGAGCCGAAAACCAAAAGCTTGCGTCCATTGGATAAACACAAATTACTGGTAGCCAATAGATACGTCTTGGTCCAAATTGCTGTGCCATGTCGTTTGAAAGAGTCGCAAAGGCCAAAATTTAATAAGCTGAAGGGGGATCTGGGACAGGGCTACTCAACTGGCGGCGGACCGCACCTAAATCTTTATTTTGAATCGTTAACCCCACTTTTGGAGTTTCATTTTATTTATAGATTCAAATATCTATGAAAAGAACTCTTAACGCCATGAATAACAATCTTGATTAGCTAATAATCATTAGTCGGCCGAGGAAGTGCGTGTTTAAAGATGCCGAAATATAATTTCTGGAAAGACTGGACCCAAATAATTTTGAAGTTGAGTAGCCCTGATCTTGAACACACAAAAAAAGTTCAGCAGGCATGCGGGTCATGGTTTGGAACCACTGCCTATATCAGGAATTTTCAGATGCATGAATAATCTAAAGCCAACTAGTGAAAATTGTAGGCGACAGTTAGTCAAGCAGCCAAAGCCTTGAAGTAGGCATTAAGCGAGTTGGACAAACATTGTGGTGTAGTCTGATGAATTTTGAACGTTAACTCCTAATAAATTTTTATCAAAAATGTTCATACTCCAAAATACGACCATCACTGCTGATGGAAGCGGCAGTCAAACGCCCAACCTTGGTTTTGAATTGGTTTCAGTTTTACGATCAATTCTCATCAAAACATTGAGTCTGTATCAGTATGAACAGCATTACTGAAAAATCCAACCAAGGCCTTCTTGAGATAGTCAATTCAAGTCACTGAGTAATTGGTTTTGACCGCATATTACCAGCTCTGCGCTCATTCTTCATCATCAGAAGCTCTTTTGATTCCGCCAAATACTTGATCAGGAACGGCTCGTTTTTTAATCGAAATATCTGGCAACCCTTCCTCATCATCACTGGCATCTAGATCTATCTCATCTGGATTCTCAGTGACAACCTGAATATAAAAAAGGAAAAATTTTTTTTTGAATTAGAGTTAAATTACATTAGAACAAAAAGAATTTAACTCGAAGAAGGTTTCCAGACGCCCAAAAACAGGATTATCCAAATCCAATTAAATTTAATGCTTTCTTCAGAGAATGAATATTATGGGTAATATCAAATTTGGTCTTATATTCTCATACCCTCCGTGGACTGATAGCCGGACGAAGGAACAATATACATCCGCCCTAACTCAAAAAGGTGGGAATAGTGTTCTAAGAATCGGATAAATAGGACACATCATTTTGGAGACATCGACTGTCAGTTGGTTATCGCTTTCTCAACTTCCAAAGTCTGGTTAAATATACCCGTACCTAACTTGGACTGGTGACCGGACAAAAGGCTGTGGTTCACCATATGATTAACCTGTTCTATCTACTTTTCTCCGCCAGGATAAGTATGAAAATCCTAATTAGGATGTTTTGGTGGCCTGGTTGTTGGCATCGCAGACTACATATATCAAGTCCAATCTCACCCTAGATGTAATAAATTTGGTACTCCCGTAGTGTGTGTACCAGATTAGGGTTAGGCCATAATTTCATTCCAATTTATCTTACTTTAGTTCTATTATGAGTTCAGGACTGTCCGTGTGTGTTAGCCAAGTGAATATACCCCCTACCCATAGGTTTCAGTCCCTTTACACAACTTGCTGTAAAGTAGGCGAACAAAATTAGTTCCCTCCATATTGGTACACATAATTCTGGAGCGACGTAAATTGAGTAAGCAATATTAAAACGGAAAGATTCTGGCCCCTCCAAATGCTAGTAGCTGCTTGCATAGCATCTTAATCGGAACGATAGGTGTTAATGAATGTCAAATAGAAAATTTGCAAACCTGTTCTGAAGCAGGATTCTGTGTGTTATCGCTTCTAACAAATAGAATTCCTTTCTTGGGCTGAACTTTTTCCTTCTGAGCACTGGCAGCCTGAGCTTTGGCTTCGAGAAGTTTCATTTCATCTGTTCCCGGATCACCAGGTGCAAGATCGGCCGAAGTACCTGGAAGAATAATAAATTGGGAAATTTGAATTTTTTTCTGTGTTGCTGTCAACAAAATTGATCTCCTTATTCTAATCAGGAGGAATAGAAATGTGCCAAAATCAGTTTTTAAACCAGGGACCAAAAATTTCGCCCACCTAGACTGGCGGGCCATGCAAGTGTGGCGTAAATATTTACAGTGTTACAAAATCTAATTTGATGAATTGCAATAAAAAATTTCAAAAATAAAAATATACCAAACAAAAATATCATCATTTGGGTGTGACTACTTATTAATTACTGAAATCTAAATCCAAATCAAAGAGTGCAACTACCTGAGTAATGGATTATGGGTTCACCAGGGTGTAACAACTTTGGGACTTACAACAGGACTTATTGTTTTCCACTTTTGCTTTTGTAGCGCTGTAAATATTGTTCATAAAATGTAACTTTTTCGTCACACTTACGTGGCCCGCCAGTTTAGGTGGAAAAATTTTTGTCCCCTTGTCTTAAAACCATATCTACCCCTGCTGTAGATCCTTAGATAACAAAGCCTTATGATGATAAAAAAATACTATCAATACCTGTAGTGTTGGAAGCAGCAGCCAGCATTTGAGCCGACATGAAGTTGACTTGAGTATTATAGGTTGCTTGAACGCTTCGTTTGATTCGTAACATTTCACGAACTGTGTCTTCATTTCCGTGTTTTATTTCGAAAGTTTTCCACGTCTGCCAGAATTCAGCTGTGGTTCTGAAAATGAAATAAGTAAAATGAAAGTATTATTTATAAGTAAAATTAATAAAAAATTATGGTATATAAAAATCGATTTATCCATGTGTTTATATACAACTATTTGGGTAGAGATTTCTTGCAACCCTTTTGTCCGCAAACTGTTGGTTTAGGATTTTATGCTTGATGGGGATAAATCTGAGTGTTGACAAAGGCCACACTAAATGGCATGGTGAGGGACGCAAGCCGGCTGATGCACACTCCTGTCTCTGGACATGCCAATTTTACGAAAAATACTAAAAAAAAGTACAGCGAAGTTTACTTGGCAGGCTGGATTGTGGCCCACGAGTCGCATGTTGCACACCTCTGATTTACGAATTATAGATTAGTTAGTTGCTGACATCTACGAGGGTACATTGAGTGGTATGGAAAATCACACTCACCTTGGATCACACATCTGAGAGCAGAAAGCATAAATCGCTCTTGCTCTGTCAATTTCACCCAGTTTCTGTTCAAGGTCAGCAAATCGGAGACAAACATCTCTCGCTTGAGCATCTTCGAGTGATTCAATCGCACGTTGGTATATCGGCCTTGTATGTGTAACTCCGTATATTTCCGCCACACGTTTAATATATATATTAAACATGTCATATTTTTCTTCTGGTAAAACGGCCTTCGTAGCTTTTTCGTAGACTGCCATTGCGTGTCTTGATAACCCATGTTCTTCTTCAAGCTTGGCGTATAAGAGATACAAATTTTTTGCAAACTTGGGAGGACATCCGTCCAAAGCTTGCTCAAAAAGATCTCTAGCGCGCTCTAGTTTCTTTCCACCATACCTTGCAATGAATTTAGTCAAATATGTATTCCAAAGATCGAAAACGTTTGGCCATTTAAACATCCCGACACCTCGTTCATAAGCCTTAAAAGCCTCTTCAAAATAATGATTGTCCTCCAAAAACATTCCGTAATTGATAATAATTTGCGGAGTGGAGATTCGGAGATCCAAGATACGATCATAAACAGCTTTACAAGTATGGAAGGTCCCGAAACTCTCTTCTAAATCAGCGTACATGGACCAGAGTTTCAATGATTTGTATACTCTATTTTGGACTGGTTCGGTATGGTCGAAATATCCAGCGCGTTTAGGTGGCATTGCAGTCGCTCGTTTCATTAAATTGATTGCGCCATCAAAATTTTCGTGTCGTAGTTCCATTTCAGCCCACTCGCACCACACGGTGGCCAGATCTTCGACGCCTTTGTAAGACACAAGGACCGCTTTTCCAAAAATTGTACGAGCGTCGTCAATTTGATCATGCTTCTCATAGAATTTAGCGAAGGAAACCCAGAGATTGGAGATCTTTCCAACGGATTTCGGTATTTCTATTGTCTGTATAGCTTCTGTGTATGTGTTGATGACCTGTGCTAAGTTATCTTCGTAAAGCTCGACTCGTTTAAGCCATTCGTTTACATTGTGTGGATTCTGCCTCAAGAGGACGCTATTGAGAAGTAATGGACGTCTCGTAATTAAATGTTCGAACCTTGCGAGTCGTAATTCAATATCAATGTCATCTTCTTCATTCTGTTCCTCTTCAGCCGCCTCTTCCATTTTCGAACTAATAACGGACTCTTCAAATTGAGCGTACGCATCGAAAATTTGTGTGAAATCACGGACAGTGGTCACAGTTTCTATTGCTTCTTCATAAATCTCTCTCGCTCGTTCGAAAAGTCCGCTTCTGATGTAATAATCAGCTAAAGCGCACCAAAGTTGTCCTAATTGGTCAGTGAAACGTTTTAAACCACCACGAATAATTGCCTCGACTTTTAGCGAATGTACTTTATCAGGATTCTTCGAAATGAGTTCACATAACTCATGCCAAAGTAAATGATTTGTCTTTCCATGTTTCGACGCAAAACTCTCGTCGTTAACGATTTCCGCAAGTTTTGTAGCTGCCTCATCGTAACGATCGATCGATATTAAATATTCCACGTAGTCTTCACTTTCTTCTGGAATGAGTTTCAGCATTCGACGAAAAACTCGAACCGCCGTTTCATGAATGGGATATTTTTTCACAAATTCAATATACAACGGCCAAATCCGATCATGCTGCGTCACTGGAAGAGCTTCAAGGCAGCGATCAAAAGTACGACGCGTTCTCGTCAGACATCTTTGATCCACAAGAAATTTACAATAATCTATCCAAATCCGGGGCATTTTGTGCATAAAAACTAACGCTCGTTCATGTGCGTTATTAACTTCTTCAAACATCGAGTCCGTAGGACATCGACCTTTAACCTGGCTTCGTCTGATTCGTAGATAGTTGTACCATAACTTATAGCTTCCAGGAAGTTCTTTCAAAGCTCTCTCATAGACCATGTTGAGCTGCTTATAAGGTGCATTTTCTTTGTGATCAATGTACCTGAAAAAAATGAAATAACTAAGGACTTTCGCATATAAAGCATTCAGAGTCGGGGTGGGCTTTCTTTTACTATACTACTTTCCTTATATTCAATATACTTGGTTACTCGGCACAGGTTCAAAACTCAATATGAAACCATGAATAAAGAACAGTTTATTCACAAATAACTGTTGTCGATAACAATCGTTGCCTGCTTGTTTACCTGATGTGAAGCAATAGGTATTTGCTGCAGGGAATAACATTGGAAGATTAGCAAGCAACATGGGTATAGACAGAATAATTGGATTTCAGCAGTGGCGCAGACAGGGGGGTTACATTGTCGAAATCGCTCTGCAGAGATGCTGAATTTTCAGAATGGCATAATTTGGATGGGTGAGTTTGAGGTATAAGTGGGTCGTTTTGCACATTATATCCAGGTGCGAATAATACCTGGAGAATTGGGTTGTAAAGTCACAGATATTTGCCATCTGTTCCAAGCTAAGGTGTACTTTATACTTTGGTTTCCAGTGGGTCATATGCATTATCAACGCCTAATAACCCTCCAGGTGTAACATCTGAGCATACACTACAACTTGATAGTGAAAATAAAAGTTTAGCGAAGTCCATGTTCTGATCATTAAACACCAACCTGAGTCGGAAGGGTTTAGTTGTTGAAGAGTTACACTTCAAGGTAAAATCAGGAGTTCAAACTCCATAGTCATCTCACCCTTATGTGTAATAATAATTGAGCTAGGCCACGGTTGAGCAAGGTATTTGAACCAGAGGTCAAAAATTTTGCCCACCAAGACTTGCGGGCCATGTAAGCGTGACATTAAAAGTTACATTTTATAAACAGAATTTTATTTACAGTGTTACAAAAGCAAAAATGTAAACAATGAGCTTCGTGACAAAACTAAATTTTATCGCAATCTCGACAAATTTTCGATGTATTTTTTCCTAAAACATCAAAATACAAATTTAGTTTGGTTGTGGCAGCATCAGATTGAATTAGCCATTGTTTGACCATGTCATGTCTAGGCAATGTCGAGCCAGAAAGATTCTGGCTCTTTTGATCAATAGTAGATCCCAACGTAGCAGTGGGTGCTTATGTATAGCCTTATTCTAGATATGTGATTAAAAACAAATAAATAAACCGACCTCAGCCAGCATTTGACAGAGAATGGATTGCGCAATATCTCTTCTTCATAAGGTAGGTCATCTTCTTCCAAGACCAGCTCATCTACAGATGGCATATTCTTATTCTACAAGAGGTTCTACGGTACAGAATTCTAAAAGATAAAAATAGGAACGCATAGTTTTAGAGATTAAATGATGAAGATGATTCCAAAACATAAAGAATGTATTATCAGGAATTCAGTCCTTCCTATGCGTTAAAGACTATAAGATAAAAAAAGACGGCATGAATACCTTCACACAATATTTTGAGCATTAGCATATATCGATACTCATTTTACAGAACAGTTCATTAATAAAGACGCTCCATTTTGGGATGAAATATATTTTGCTACGAACATTAAATAAGATATTTGGTTCTAGGGTTAGATTGAAATCAAATCGTACTGGAGTTTACTAGCAGTCGTGAAAGCAAAACTTCAAACAAAGCAAAATTTTATTCAAACCTGGGTCCAGCCAACTTTTGTACGATTTATTAATCAAAACCTTATCAACAAAGTAACGTATAGCAGCACTTTCACTGTTACACTGATTCAATGTCTCAATGATTCCCACCAGAGGACGAAGTTGGAATCATACTAAACCAGGTCCCAAACAAAAGATCGACAGGATTATCATGGAATCCTACCACAAATTAAAATTTTTGTCATGAAGTCAGTTCTCAATGTTTTGTATTTGTTACAAGACTCTATGACAGAGGTTCCCAAACCGCGGCCAGCGGGCCAAATCCGGCCCGCGTAACAATTTAAAATGGCCCGCCGAACTTGAGTAAAACGATGTTGTTATGTCATTACCACAGTTAAAGCACGTGTTTATTGCGTAACAATTCAATTATGCCGATATCTCAATAATACATACCGGTATTACCGTGTTTCCCCAAAAATAGAATACAATATTTCAAATTTCTTTCGAAAAATATAACTAGGGCTTATTTTCGGGGCGTGTCTTTTATTCTCATGAGTCAAAAAAAAAATTACAAAGATTTTCAAATATAAAAACCAATATCCATTTACTTGAATGGCACATTTTCCTCTTTCACATTTGTTAGATTAATCATTTACAACGTGTAGGGGAGATTTCCTGCTATTGACTATGTGCTACTGACTATACGTCTTATTTTACGGCGAGGCTTATATTAAAATCATTCTTAAAATTCAGGCTAGGTCTTATTTACGGGATTGGTCTCTTTTCAGGGAAACACAGTAGGATTACAAAGAGCAGTAATTAAGTTATCAGCCCTATAAGAAAGCTTACAGATGTCAAAAAAACAAACAAAACTAGACTTTGCAAATAGACGTTTCCGGGATAAATGGTAGCTTTCATATTTCTGTATTGCAAAGAATCAAACTTCAGCGATTTGTAATATTCCAGTTCTGAAGGAATACGACATTAAGCGCCATTATGAGTCAAACAAACAGATTGCAAAAAATAGTGAATCCACTGAACCCCAGCTAAACCGCCGCGAACTTTCGGGCGCTAAACTCTTCCGGCCCGCGAACATTCTCCCGATTCCAAATTTGGCCCGCGTCCAATATAGTTTGGGAACCCCTGCTCTATGAGCACCATGTACTGCACCACAGCAGAAAATACTGTGGCAGTGGTTCCCAACCACGAGCCTGTGGCTCCCTAAGGAAGCCACAGAGCAGTTGGAGAGGGGCCACATTGCTAGCCGCAAAACTCATTTCAGTTTTACTAAATGAAAAACCCTGTTCTTCTTTTTAATAGCTTGATAAGCTTATTTCACAGGGTCTTTTCACTTTGTTGAGCATGAATTGTTTGAACATTTAATGGGTTTTGGAATCTGCCAATCAAAATAACACTTTGAATCCCACTGGATTGATAAACAGGGGGCAATGAGTGCTAAAACCGCCACGAGCCATAAATGTTGGGAAACACTGTTATCGTCAGTTATGCACTTTATGTGCACCTCAGAACCTTAAGCACACAAAAAAGTAACATATAGCAGCACTTTCGCTGTTATATCACATGTAATGCCTAAATGATGACAAAAGATTATAAAGTCCAGTTGCAATTTCAAAACTTCGTTATGAAGTCAGTTGCCAATGTTTTCTAATTGTAACAAGACTTTACGAATCTCATGTACTTTAGCAATGCTATGGTATCACAGTTCTTAACGCAATTCTGCCATTTCTTTTTACAGCAAAATTAAAGTTAACCACATTGTCTAAAGCTTCTTCAATTTTTTCTTCCAAATTTTCCTCGGTAATCCAATTTTCAGATTCGTCTATCGCTGTCAAAACTTCTTGCTCATATTTAGCAAGTTTATGTTCGAATTTTTTTTCTAATAAACTGACTTTCTGGCTCAGTTGTTGTTCTTGGTTTTCTAATATTCGATCGAGTTTTTGTTCTCGTTTTTCCCGCATTTCTTTGTTATAAGCTTCATTATATGCCATACATTTTTCATGGTGGCTTTGTTCATCGAAACTATTTTTTGAGACAGTTTTTGATTCCTTTTTAGCTTCGTTTATCAATATTTCTTCTTGGAAAGCAGCAGCTATTGATCTCAGCATTTCATTATAAGATTTATAGATTAATTCACTTTTCTTTACATCATGTTCCGTAGGTCTCGGTTTATTAAAATATATCCCTGCTTTTGAAGGTGCTCGACGTGGTAGTAACCACTTCGGCTTGCGGTATCGGACTTGTTCAAGAAGTGGTAAATGAAGTTTCGTTTCAAGCATGGAAGGCTTATAAAAAACTCGACTCAGAATATTGCTTCGTACCAGAGCCATTCTACAGAAACTGCAGTTGAAGGTATCTGTTGTAAATCAATTACCTATACATATCTAAACCGGTATGAACTGGAATATTCTAAAAGAAGCGATGCAAAATCAGGGTCCAATGACTTTCCATTATTATTTTGAATGCCTGTAACAAAATGATCTGGTCTCGAGTAGTTTCATACCTCAAGTACTTATAGTTGGCATAGGGTAACAATTTTTGAGGTTGGAACTGACATACCGGTATGCTACGCCCAGCAGAAGTACTTGAGGTACGAAACTACACTAGACACGAATAATCTCAACTTCACCAAAGTGCATAAGTGTGAAAATTCTAATATCGTCACATTTAATAACTGGTTCAGTGTTTAGAAAATGATCATTATACAATTATAAGGAATTTCAGATCAATCGGGTGAGTGAGTCATTATAGTTACTATGATTGGTAATAGTAGAAATGTTGCCTACAACACAGACAACATCAGAACATGGACTGGAATCACTACCGGTATTCAGTTATTTGAATGACACTGACTGACTGAACTGGAATATAAATATAGGATTTCGTGCTAATTGTTATGAATGCGCAATACGTTGACCACCGCAACCTTGATTACGATACCGTACCCTGTGTTAGTTCGCAGGTTTGAATCTAGTGAAAGATGATAATGAACGAGTGGGTTGCTAGAGTTCTTGCAGTTTTGCCGCCGTGCCGGTACTGCGTAAGGTCTTGCAACAACGTACCTCACTCGTTGGCTTTCTTCACTCCATAACGAATCTAAAACGTTATCCCAACGCAGCATTCACAGAAGTAAATAACCCCGAGAAACCTTTTATTGCCGAATTCAATTCCAGAGCAATTCCGGTATGCTGGGAATTATTCAATTATATTTTTTCACATCATGCTGAAGCACCATGGAAGCACCAAATAAAATGTTAGTGGGGTCATAGGTCAAAAAATCATCTCCAACACTTTTCCTTCGTTAAGTTGGTTGACTCATAAAAAAAATACAGGATTTACCGACCACGTTGACAGTAGTAACAAGTAGTATTGCTGAAATTCAACAAATAGTGGGATTCCAGTGGCGATGAGATAGGGTGATAGTTATTTATAAGTATGAACTGTTTCATTTCACAAATCTCATCATTTAAAAATTGATTTCACGGAAAAAAATTTATTACTTTTATTTACTTCATTTTTTTTGTTTGTTTTTTTTAAATTTTGTGTCGTGAACTTCAACCATTTCTAATAATCATATTTTACTGTGAATTCATCAGCGTAAACTTTGAAGGGGCTGACTTCGATGACCGCATGGTCGTATCGCTCCTTCCAGTCTATACCGAAAAAAGCGTATTTTTTATATTCATTATTTTTTATTATTATGACCGAAATAAATCTCTCTCTCTCTCTATGAGTTTATTTTGATTTCCCCGTAAAAAAACATACACAAAACAATGAACTCACAGAAGATTGGGAAACTAACAAAACCTTTAACAAGATTTGAAAACACGTAAAATATATATGCCAGTTTACCAATATTACCCACGTAAACATACATTTGCTTTGGGTTTCGAATACTTAACAGATGAGTTACATGAACGTGAAGCATAATGCGACAGTGAAGAACAAAATTCGTTGCGCATATTATGATCGCTGACTTCCTTGTAAACTTCCGCGACAACAATGAGATTATAAATAAATTTAACGTAAACAAAAAAAATTGTTTTTTTCGTTTACATTACCCTTTAACATCGATTTAATTGTCTACTTCCGCCATCGTAATTAAAGCTGAAGCTTACCGAATAAATGCTTTGGTATGTTATTCAGAAGTCAGCTAGTCAGTAACTGTGTCAGTTGAGGAAGTCTTGGTTTCCATCCGTGGTCATAAAATCAATGTAACAAAGGCATATGAATGTCCGCGGTTCACCGTGAAATAGGGGCATCCTGAATTTACTTGAAACTATTCTATACAGCATCGTTTCCCAAACTTTTTCGGCCACGGAACACTTAGACTTTTTATCTCGCCTCGCGGAACACCAAAAAATGGAAAGCTAAAATTGGTAAAGAAAAACGGTGTAATGTAGCGGTTCCCAATGGGTTCGCTAGTATATATTTACGGTTGAACCGTAAATATGTCAAACCGTAAATATATACTACTATGGTTAAACATACCTGAAATATGATTGAATATTTTACATATTGCATTTATTATAAATGTTTTATTGTTTCCTAATTTGAATGCTGTGTATAATGTATATCAATCAATGAATTCACAAATTCACAATTTTTTACCTGTCTATGTCGTTTACTTTCCATCACGTAGTGTTTGCCTCCAATGTTACCTATAATGGAGATAAAAGTACTTGCTGCAATTTCGCGAGCTGCAGTTTATTTATCTGATGAATTGAATTTAGCGAACATGAGTGATTTTTCAGCATTTCATAGTAAAGCCAGGCAGAGACGGAGGAAGAAGAGTTGACCTTTTGCCTTTATTCTTTAGACCCACTTGTTTGCTTATAACAAAACCAAAAGGATTGCTGTACTTAACAGTCAAAAAGCTACGCCGACAGTTAACGAAAATGCCACTACTCTACCTTAGTTAGTCCGCGTTAGGCCGAAGATGACGCGAAATTGAACGGTCAGTTGGGCGACAACTTCACGATCCCTATATCGCAATGGCGACATTTTCGATTCCTTATTCACGGAACACTCGGAAGACGCTCGCGGAACACTAGTGTTCCGCGGAACACAGTCTGGGAAACGCTGCTATACTGGAATATGTCAATTTTCATATTTTACCTGGAAGTGAGAAAAGTTGATAAGCCGGTTCAATCATATGGCGTATGACTGGTAATAGAATTAGTTATTCAGTTCGAATTTAGATGGGATTGGAATATTTCACCCGGGAGAGGAAAGCCGATAAGATGGTTTACGACCGTGTCTCGTCCGATTACCACTCCGTTTGGGGTACGACATGATATTAGTCAGCTAGGTATTTCTTTCAGATGCTTGGAATTGATGATCGAAGAAGCCGCAACCGACCAGCGGTTACGTGAACAACCCTACGGCGGTGAGGAGTCCGACAATCCTACCTCACATAAATATCCCAACGGTATTCGAACCTGCGAACCCACGTACAGTAATCAGAGGTACGATGACGAGCGTATTCCTAACACTCAGAATGATGCGCCACTGGTTATTTGTTTCAGATGCATGGTCTTGATGGTGTAGAAAGTCGCAACCGACTATCGGTTACATGACCCACCCTACGAGGGCGAGGACTTTGGTATTCCCAGCATAAATGATTATTCGTTGGCGGGAACCAGCGAACCGCAGCCGGGTAGTCCAAACGCTCAGCACGATGATATCTTTTGATAAAAAAATATTAGGCCGCGAGCCGAAGCCATTTATCTTTCAGTTTCGTAGCGCACATAAGGTAACTACCTGAAAATGATTTTAAAATGTTCCTTAGAAATTTAGTAACAAATATTGCCTTGTTCCCACTTCCAAAAGTTGCACGTTTTACAGAAAAGACGCTTTTACTACAATAAAATGTGTTACCATCTGTCCTATTTTCTCTGCTTTTCCGGTATCATGGGCCAATGAACGCAGACTTTTGCATGACGTAACAATCAAATTAGTCAGCTGTAGGTGGATCCCCCGTGGTCGGATGAATATCTGATGTACTACTGCTCGCTTTTGCGTTCAGTACGGTAGCCTTTCCATAGTTTTTTTCAATTATTATTAGTTCAGTTATTCTAAGGAGGTGTTGAAAAGTATAAGTAAGATATTAAACACTTGTATATCTCTACCATAAATAGCAATTTTAGTTGATCACTAGCTCATAAGACGTTGTTAAATAGGTACGGTGCGGTAACTCCAAGGAAGGCTAGACCTAGAATAATATGTCACAAACAACAATATTTTCTGGCTTGCATGAAATGTTTATGATTAATTTAATGACTATTCAGCAGACTTGTACTACTATATAGGCCCCGGCATATTTGGAATAAGAAATTAATGGCTGTTTCTGTAATGCACGGTTGTGTGGAAGAGAAGAAAATAATCAATTTTACTAATGTCGGTTGGTCTAAATCTACATTCATAGAGTCGACAAGAACCTGGGAAGCAATGATAAGTTATGCCGGAGTGGAAAGAAAGTAGCACTGGAAACGATTGAGAGGTGAGAAATCAAGTTGTAGACAGACAGTTGATGTTGTAAAATATAGTCTATAATCCATACTCATACTGTCATAGGGCATTTCAGACTGTGATATATCAAAATTTAGTGTAGATATAGTCTAGTACTGGTATGCAAACACTGCTGGACTGTAGTACATGCAATGAGCATATATACGGTCATTGGGTACATCAGATAAAATGCATTATGTATTAAAGGTATTAGTATTTAGTGGTATTTCTACACTCACGCTGTTCCAAATATGATTTTCTTCCTCATTTTAGATACTGTACTACAAAAGAAAACGACAATGTTCCACCAATCCGACCTAACGCAGGCTCTAATCCCTGCTGCTATCAGTGCTATAAAATGGATTAAACAAGAAGTCTTGAAGCGTAAAGGTATATGAGAATCACAATAGTTGCAAACAGCTTAGATGAGCTATTCATATTGAAATACTTTAGCACTTATTTGCAATTGGAACTGCACATCAAACTCATGTTGGAGACTTCATTGAGGTTTTCAATTCATTTTTTCTCAACTATGAAGATCTTTTGAGGTTAACGAGGCATTAATAAATAAAGCTGAGGAATTTGTTTGTGTACGAAGAGTATGTATGAAGTACTGTATGAAAAGGATATGAAGAATGTAAATGATACCAGGGCACGTCTATTTAACACTGGCAAACATAAGGATCATACTCTGCCACCCAACAATGATTCACTGAAGAAGCATGTGGCCCTCAAATCAGTTCTTGAGTTGACAAACTGCAAGTGTAAGAAAAATGGTCAAAATAGTTTATGCAAGTGTGCCAAAATCAACTTAAATTGCACAGATTTTTGTTTTTGTATTGACTGCAAAAATCACAGTACACTTATAGAGGAAAAGTCAATTTTCGAGATAGTGGATTTCGAAAACAATTCAGAAGAAAGTGAATTAGACATTGCAGTTGATTTAATAAGTATCATTTATCTGTTTGT